TGTCCAAAACATGTGGTTTGTGCCAGGCGGACATGATTGCCAGTATTTTTTCATTATTGCAAGAAATTCCATTAACTCATTCACAAGTCAAAAATGTGTTTTATCTGAAAGAAACATGCAATATTTACATCTAAGATCATAGAAAAATAGTCAACCAAGTGCAATGATGTCCTCCAAGATAATATTTGTTTCTCAGTTTCAGTTATATATTGGGGAGACATTTTGGGCATTGGTGGGGGGCACGTGTCCCCCTCAATGTATATGGTGACTACGGCCCTGTCAGCATGCATTAGGCTGCAGTTGTCTGGGTGCGCAAAGGTGAAGTGGCTGGTCTTGTCATACAAAGTTTGATGGAGTGTCAACTGGACAATATGGAGATATTTGCATCTTGAAAGCCGGGCTACACATGTGGATAGACAGGGAGAAACACACGCAAGCCTAAGACGTGGTAAGATACGATATTCCTCACTATATGAAGTGACTGATAACAAGATCTGTATAATGGGTTGTGAAGAAATTCGTCAGGTTTTTATTTTGTAGACAATTGATCTGTATTTATAGCATGATGGGATGACAGCACAATGATGTGTGTGGTCCTGCGCTTTCATGTGATATGCATGGCATTTCTGTGCGAGCCTGCGTTCGTGAGTAATCCATCCAAGAGTAATGTGTGTGCAAAGCTGTATGAAAGCTCTGTTATATCATTTTATTGTAATTTTTCGCTGTGAAAACATTGGATTACCAACAAGTGCTTGGCCTTGTCGGAAAGCTACAATTCTGCTGTTTCCGCTGATATGCGTGGCTTCTCGCTATGACGCACAGTCGCGGAGAAAATCCACAGAGCAGAACGGGTGTGAATTTGGACGCATTATGCGTCGTTCGGGCCCATAGTCTAAACTTCTCAGTTTCAACATTTTATTGAGAACATTTAGGAACAGTGCTGCACGTTAACTTTTGTCTGCACATTGTTTTTGTCGCCATTGTTGCTGAGTCTGAGGTGTGAGTCATGCGCTCTCACTCCGCCTCCACCTCAGGTACCGAAATTTGGCACCGTTTCATTTTAAGTGAATCAGTACTCGGTAGTACCGACGTGAATCGGTACCAAGTACAAAAAGTACCGAGTTTCGGTACCCAACCCTAGTACTGCTTGGTGGAAACAGGGTTATACGTTACCAGTGTAGCATGCTAAACATTCTAGCACTCTACCTTGTTACTGAAATAACTACTGACCTAATGTTTCACACAGGAAATGAACAGTGGGCTCCTTGGTGAACTCCACCTCCCCTGTCACCCATCTTATACGGGCTTTCCTACACCTCATACTATGGTAGCTGACAGAGGCATCAGAACTAGCTGCTGCCCGGTGCGTATCACACTGTCTTAAATAGTGTTTCGGTGTGTTGGTACCTGAGGCCAAGATCCACTGACAAATTGGATGAGTTCCGTTGTCAGAAATAGCTGTATCATACCGCTGTGAAAGCTACCTCAGTATCTGACGCCGAAATCAACGACAAAGCAGTGATATTTGATGAGCTGGGAGTGAGAACGAGTTTGGAGCAGACAGAGTCACAAAATGTATGCCCAACAGGCCCAATACTGAACAATATAATACAATATAGTCACACAGCTGAAATCACACAACATCAGTAGTTCATTAACTAGTGTGAAAATAACACAGAGACGATACATTTAAAGGGACAGTTCACCCCAAAATCAAAAACACATATTTTTTTCTCCCACCTGTCTTCTATTTATCGGTCAAGAGAGTGAGCTGAGTGTTGGAGATCGTATCACCTCCTACTCAGTGATACAGTCTGCAGGTGTAGTTCAGTAGAAAGAAAACAGTTCCTACATGAAACTGCTCACAACAAGGTCTGTGGATTATCTTGAGTAACCAGGTCATGATTTCTGGAAAGAGACGTTGATGTTGAGTTTTTCAAATGTATTTTTTTTAACGCTTTGAGCACCACAAGCTGAGTGCCATCTAGTTCCATTATATTGGAGAGAAGGCAGACATCTCTACGGCTGATATCTCCAACACTCTGCAGCTCACACCAGATCTAGACTGATAAACAGCACTACAGGTAAGAGGAAAAATATGTACTTTTGATTTGGGGGTGAACTGTCCCTTTAAAGGCTCTAATGTAACAAATCGATACATACATATATATAATAAGGAAATATGTAACAAAATAACATAAACAACATCAAACAAGAGCATTAGATTGACTGTTTAAACTCGTCCAGGCTGCTGCAGTATGTGGCAGCAACCTGTGACACAGCGTCACGCTTTTAATATAGTCCGTACAAATCAGAACTTATTGCAGGAATCATTCAAAGTAACATTCAGTATCCAGGCTGCGAGCCTGATGAGCTGTCTTTGCTAATCGACCCTTGACCCCCAATTTTAGAAAGAACACTTTCTCTGAACTTCGCCCCTGCTCGGTTCTCGCTGTCTCTGGCTGCTTCACACACACCTCACACTTGTTATCCAAGGATACAGCTTTACAACTACAACTGGTGCGTATTTCTTCTGTGACAGGGAGAGTGTGCGGCAGTCTGTTATGGCAAGTGCTCAAAGTTTTAGGTTAGAAGGAGCTTCATCTCACTGATTTCCAAAAAGACGTCTGGTAAAAGTTGAAGAAGACTTCATATTATGTTGAAGATAAGGCAAGAAAGGGCACTTATCCTCATTCAGTCATTCATACTTCAATATTTATGTTTCTTTGACATCATAACTCCTCCTCTCTCACCTCTACGCCCCTCCTCAGGCTGTGGTGGACTTGTTGGTCATGCGGGAGTTGCTCTGGTCGGAGGCCCGTTCGGTGACTTTGAGCTTCATGCACGACTGCTTCTCATCCATCAACATCTCAGCCGGCAGGCACCAGCAGCACAGGCACGACTGGAGGAGGGAGAAAAATGGTGAGACAGATTGTGAAGTGTAGAGGCTGAGAGAAATTCATAAGTGTGTGTGCAGTATTCACAGCTAAAAGACAGAAGCAAGTGCTTCCTTCTTCTCTTTTTTGCTGCCTAAAAGATAGTCAGATATCTTTTTCACCACCTGGCTGAGAGATGGATAAACAGATTAATACCACTCTCATGTTTGTCTGTTACGAAGTACGAAGTTGGAGCCAGCATCAGTTAAGCAAAGTTTATGCTTGCGTAGTGTCTTCCATGCAAGGTTCATGCACCAAAAATGACCACATCTGATCATATTTTTCATGTTGAGTGCAGATGCTCCAATTGTGCACCTCATAGTTTTTGTAACTAGGCACCTACTGTGCACGTTCACTTTTCAGTTCAACATGAAAGACAGGCCAAGCAGATTTATAATTATATTCTACATTTTGCCAACAGGTAAATGTTAAGTATGACATAAAATGACTGAATTACAGTTTGGTTTTTTTAAGATTTGTAACATTAGAAATGTGGACTATTACACAGAAAGGCTTCACTCATTTTCACAAAAATAAATTAAAACATGTATAAATGCAATTAAATAAAATGTCTATAGTAGTTAAGACCTCACAAATAATAATAATAATAATAATAATAATAAATTCAAGTTTAAGACTATTTAATGACTCCTAAGGCCTTATTGTTAAAAATGAATTACAGACATTTTAAGACTTTTTAAGGACCTGTAGACACCCTGGGGTTTTGAAGTATTTATCATCTTTATCATCAACAGCTGCTACCGGTTGTGCTAACTAACTGGAGCTAGCAGCTAACAGCTAACTAGGTTTACAGTACAAGAGGTAGCTGGAATCAAGTGACGTGACCACGGTAAACAAGGAGGCTCCGTGCTCTGAACCAGCGTGAACCAAGTTAGCAACAATCTTTATTATTTTTCACATTGACATTACTGCTTCACTCCCTCCACTGTTTACTTTGCACAATAACAGAATGACTTAAATTACTCAGAGCATAATGCTACAAAGCAACTCAACAAAATAGCTTACACAAGTCCAAAATTCATACTTTCAGGATTTACCATGTGAGCTTCACTCAGTAATCTTCGAGCCCTCTCCTTTTTTGTTTTGTCTCCGTGCAGATCTGATGTTGAGTCATAGAGCTCCAGGTGCACACAGACGGCAACATTGTTTGTTATCACATCATCACATGAATAAGGCCTACTCGCTAAATTTCCAAAACTTTCAACTTGCAAATAACAAATAGAAGAAATTTCGTTTCTTAGTGTCACTCGCGTCGCATCATGCACGTCGCACAGCACAAATTCGCATCTATTTGTGTCTTTGCGTGTAGTGTAGTGTAGTGTGAACACACCATTAGTCAGCGAGCTTTAGAGGTGCTGGTAAGCTAATTTTGTTAAATTCAGACAGAGCCAGGCTAGCTGTTTTCCTCCATTTCCAGTTGTTACGCTAAGCTACGCTAACCAGCTGCTTCATATTAATCGTATAGAAATCAGGTTTTTTTTTAAATGTGTCATTTATCAGCTGGCCGGATTAAAAATGGATAAATGACACGTCAGCAACTCATCGGATGTCACTTCTGAGGAAGACTGGAGTCACAGTTGAAACTATCAAGCAGGTAAAAGAAACATCTTCTACACTTTTTTTGTCTGAAGATAAGAAAATATTGAACAAGTATGGAAATCAGAGCGGTATCAATCCTCTCATTTAACTCTCGGCACAAATAAGTGCATTTCCCACAATGTCAAACTATTCTTACAGATATTTTCACTCTGCACGTGGCATACTGTATGTTAGGCCTAAGTTGCATCTTACCCTGAAGCAGTTCTTGAAGCGCTTGCTGACCATGTAGAGGGCGATTGGGTTGATGCAGGAGTTAACAGAAGCCATGTTGATGCCGATGTAGTCCAACACCAAAAAGAAACTAAAAGGGTTACAGAGACACATTAGTCTTCTACCTCTCCCTTCCTGTCGGGTGATTCATTCTTTTACTAAATCATCTCTAGTCTAGTCTGACATCAATTTTTTTCTTGTGCAATGTGAAACATGTGTTTTCTCCCATACCTGAGCAGTTCGCAGCGGTTCGGATCTTTCTCGTCGTAGATGGTGAGCTTCAGGATACGGCTGAGGTGCAGAGGCAGCCAGCACAGAGCGAAGACCAGAACCAGACAGAACACTGTCTTCGCCACCTCCCTTCGCTGAACACACACAAACACACATAAATCACTGTATGGTTTCTCGTGACAGATTTTGGCTCAGATAGGGACATGGTGAAATCTGAATCACAAAGAAGTCTTACATCATCGGAAACTCTTGGTCTGAAAGGTTTTTTTCAAAAATCAAAACTAATTAAGTAACATTGAAGAGTGTCAAGCTGGGCTGGTGTTAAGTTTGTGGCACAAAGGCTCAACAGTATTTTTATAGCTTTGATTGAACACACTTGTGGATGTATAACTAGTCTAATGTCAAGAAAATAAATGATTCCTTTAGGTCAGATTTGTTTTTTGCGCTTCCTCGTTAATTAAGAAAAATATAATGTTAACTCCAAACACTCGATATGAAGACACTAACGCTAAGAGATGAAAGCCTTTAGCGAACCTGTTTGAGGTGGTCACTGAGAGCGATCTGGACTCCATTTTTCTTCCTCAGCATCTCACAGGTCATCAGGGTGTAGAAAATAGCAGTGCAGACCAACGGCAGGCAGAAATATGCACTGAACAGCCACCAGTCCTTCGCTGATTTGTAGAACTACATAGAGGAAAAAAACGAGAACAGCACTGAGTTACGCACAAGCATCTGCTCCAGAGAGCTTAAAGTTAAAGGTGAAACATTTCAATAGTAAATTTAATGGAGTGTATCCCCAGTCTGACCTGGACCAGAGTGAGGGACTCTGGGGTGTGTCTCAAATTCAGATTCGTTGACTTGCATTTAAAAATCAATTCATCAAAGCACCTCAGTGGAGTTAAAATGTTATTTTAAAGTTGATGCAAGACATGTGAACACACTCGCAGGCGCTGCAGTGTTTTCTTTCAGCCCAGAGAGCGATTACTCCTGTGATACACCTTTTTTTTTTCCTATATGGCAATTTCTGTAAACTCTGTCCAACCCCGATCTAGCCAGGAAGTCTCTCACAGTATGTTAAGTATGCACATATATTCATACTGGAGTCAGCATGTGCCAACATCTGCATCTCCTTGTGTGTCTGTACGTGTCAGTATGTATTATGAGTGCAGGTTTGCAGCGTGCACAGCTGTGTCAACACACAGTTTTTCTCCACATTGATTTATTTGCCTCTGACGGTCTGTGTGTCACAGCTCACCTTCATGAAGTCACCTTTCTGCATGGGGTGCAGCAAACAGATCCTCAAGTGTTCTCCTTTGTAGTCCATGGTGATCATGTCGAAGGCAATTGCCTCTGGCACAGCCAGGATGATGGATAATATCCAGATGAGCGCTATCTCAATGGCCATCCACTTTGGAACTCCGATCCCTTTGATGCGGCTCCATGAGGCCACGGCACGATACCTGGAAGATCCAACTTGTGCACTCAGTCAACCAACAAATAAACATTAAATAAAGGAATAGTTTGTTGTTTTGGGAAATACACATATTCACTTTCTTGCTGAGGGTTGGCTGAGAAGATTGATACCACTTTCATGTCTAAATATGTCTAAAGCCAGCAGCCTATTAGCTTAACTTAGCAAACCAGCACCTCTAAAGCTCACTGAATCCACAACGTGCTGTTTTTACACTTCGTTTTCTTTCTGATTAAACAAACAAGATGTAATATGTGAATTATTATGCTTTAGAAGTGCTGACAGGCAGATTTTTTACCTTTGGACAGAGCCAAGCAAACTGTTTCACCCTGCCTCCTGTGTTGGTGCTAAGCTTAGCTAACCCTCTAATGGCTGCAGCTTCATATTGGCCGCACGGACGTGATGAGAGTGGTGTCAATCTTCTCATTTAAGTCTCAGCAAGAAAGCAAATGAGTGTATTTTCCAAAAAAATGTCATATTATCCTTTAATTATTATCATTCTTGAGTGTTTAATGCTGTTTGTCTGACTGTCAGAAACCTTAACAGGGTCTATCTTGGTTTAAAGCAGAGATATTGAGTATCACACATCCCTCTCTTATCCCAACAAAACAGAAACACACATTCTAGCTTTTTAACGTTTAAAGGCTAAAAAGAAAAACCATACACGATGCATCTATATAAAGTAACATTTGAATATTGTTAATATAAATTATTTCCTTATTTCCTTATCTGCTGTGAGTGTCCAAAGGACAGAGGGATGTCGTGTGGTGTAAAGCAAATTGTGATTTGTGATATTGGGCTTTAGAAATAAGATTGAAATTAAATTGAATATAGCTCCATTTTAATAGAAAATATTCGATTTAACATCCTTATTCCAAATTCACAATGTAGTTGACAGTCGTATCCATACTCATCTCTATAAACAGATATCTGCATATCTATGTGAGAACTGTAAGAACAGTACAAAAGTTTTGTATTGGAAGTGTTTTGGTTTCTGAGGTCCAAGTAGTATTGACCAGTCATGTTTGAGCGGCAGATTGACAGTCTGTGCGGAGAGGCGAAACACATTGGAAACTCTGAACCCACTGGCTATCGTCTGTTGAGGCTTTTATTACATGTATCTATCTGTATTCATATGAAGATATCTGTTTGTAAAGGAGTCAAAATGACTGGCACACAGAAGAGGAAGTCTTGGCCCAGATATATAAAGAGGCGAAGTCCCTCCCCGACTGGTGGATCACAACAGGACCTTTTTATCATAAAAAATACGTCAAGTAGAGAAAGAATTAATCATTTTTTATCCCCTTTACACCGTGCCATGAATTACACATATGATGTTTATCAATTTAAAAGATTAAAATTTTGTGAGTCAAAAATGCATAATTAGAATGACTATAAACTATTATTACTATATATATCTATTATCATGATACTTAAGTCACAATACAATATTATTGCGATTTTAAATATGCTGCGATATGCTGAGTATTGTGATAAAACATATTGCCATTTATTCCCTTTTTTAAACTGTAAATTACGTCCCCAAAGAAAAACTTTGTCAACATCTGTTTTATCTAATAAGGTAAAGTTTTCAGTCTGTCTCACTTCAGCCATTTTTTTTTTTTTTTTGCATCAGCAGCGTAATGTATCTAGTGCACTAAAAAAGCAATTGATTATATTATTGTCGTAGGCTACCTAAAGCAGAATTAGTATTTGTAATATTACTAACTTGTAGAATAAAAAAAATCAGTACTTGGCACTGTGTAATGATACAATATTACCACAAAAAAATATTGCGATACTATGCTGTATCGACTTAAAACCCAAAAGTCGCATAGGTGGCCTCATAGCTTTTTTTCTTGCTGAAACTACGATGCCTGTGTGTTTCATACCAGGATGTACTCACACAAACAACGGCTGCTAAAAACAAAGAAGTCACTGGCTATAACAAATCAGGTCAGACACATTACATCTGTGCGTGGAGCAAAGCTAAGTTACCTGGCTAGTTAGCTGGTGTTGGTGACGTATATCAAAAGGTAATAGTCAATGTACTGAAAAGCAGCCAGCAGCAGAGATGTCAAAACTCTCCGCTCTGACAATGTTTCTGTGATCTCTGACTGTTGATGTAACCTTAGGAAATGAAAACAGGACCAAAGTTGAGAGGGAGGGTGAGTTTGTGTTGTCTGCTGGTTGTGGCCATGACTACCTGTCAATACTCAAAGCACACAGGCTCAGCACAGTGATCCCCACTGAGGCCTTCTGGACAAACGGGACCAGCTTGCACAGTGTCACTCCAAAGGGCCAGTCTTCTGCCAGGAGCTGGAGGGAGAGACAGACAAGAGTCGATGACGGAGTTAAACCAAGAGAGAGAGTGAAGCAAATCGTCTGGCTCCACACTGTTCTCCCCAGCCCCAGGCATTCAGTGTTGACCAGATATGCGTGAACCTGAACTTATCGGTTTCTGTGACTGTCCAGAGCCTTTTTTCCCCTCCTCCTCCTTCTTGTCAGGTTTTATGTTTTGGTCTTGAAAACATAGCAAGGCCTCTGTTTGGCCTCAAGGCATGTCGACCCAGACAGGTACGGTAGCTCCTGAATAACAACAAAACTCTAAACTAAACCTGTACAGTATTAAGACTTTTCATGTGTGCTTTGGATGAGTGACTGGAATGTGAGTGCAGATCAATTGGAATCATATGGAGCCCCGTATCTCTCCATACCACCCTGTATCTCCTGTGTCCGCTCTGGTATGCAACAGCAACCAGTTGTTTTAACATGCTTGCCCTCTTACCCAAATATACAGACACTTTGGTCCTCTCTTTCTCTTCCTACACACACACACACACACACACACACACACACAACGAGCCCAACAGATAATAACATGCCAGAGACATAAGGGGATATAGAGGGGCTCAGGATCCAGTAAAGTAATAACACGGAAAAAGCCCCCTTTCAAGAGTGTGTGTATGTGTGAGCTCCTGAGTTCATGTGTTAGGAGGGTGTGTGTGTGTGTGTGTGTGTGTAAAGGATTTAAACTCCAATAAGCAACATAATATTTGCATATGACCTTAAAAAACATTGTATTAAACTTTACAACATACACAACATCACAAGAGTGCAACAAAAATCAGTAAAAAGTTAAAGGGGTTTTGAAGTGACTGGAAACACAAAAACCAGCCTGTTTTTATTACCAACTCATGATCTCGGCGTCACACAGAGGCAACTTTTGCATCAGTATGATAGGCATCAGTTGTTGATACGGCAGTCAGTGACTAAACTCATCAAATACTGCTGCTTTGTCAATCATCATCCACATCCATGTGAGATACCGATGCAAAAAGGCACCTTCGTGGCATTATGAAGTGCACCATCTGGCGGCAGTTTGTAACGCCACTGGCAACTACATGGTGTAAGGAGAGAGAATATCTCTACAGGGTCGGTGGGAGGGGAGGTGAATGGGTCAAACAAACTCCAGACTTTGACACGAGAGCCTGCTGTTCGTTTCCTGTGTGAAACCAAAAGTCAGTGGAGTTATTTCACCAACAAAGTATGTTATGTGTCGCATACCATGGTAGTTTCATATGTCACCTGACGTTACATGACGTTTGTAACAACTGTACTTATTTTAAGCCAAACCATGATTCTAGCTAAACCTGACCATGTGCTTTTGTTGCCTAAACTTAAGCAAATAAATGTAAAAACAAGGTGCTTACCTGCAGTATTTTGAAAAATTGAAAAAGTGTATGCATGTAACGAGCAGAAACTGTGCATTTCCTGTGAAAACTGAAGTGTGTTTTGAAAAGACACAATGCATGCAACAAGTGCAAATTGACACGCCATCACTGACCGTTCAAAACTGAAGCAGGAGGGTACGTACTACATCATATTTTGTTGTTTAGTCCACTGAAAAAGCACTGATTTTTGATGAGCTGGGATGAGAATGTGTTGAAAATGCTGTTAAGGCCAAGATTATCACTATATGGTCTAACTCACCTTGTAAACATTAATAGGAATGCCGATGATGATGTGCAGCAGGTCTCCGAGCGCCAGGCTGCCGATCAGGATGTTGGGTCCGTTACGCATGCACTTATTCTTATAGATGATTCTCAGCAGAGTGGAGTTACCGATAATACCCACGACAAACACCAGGCAGGACACCACCGTGTTGATGTACTTAAAGGTGTCTCGGATTTCCGTGGGCCCAGTGCACATGGGAGGTAGCCGACGGCGGGGCTTAGTGATGTTAGGCCTCACCGGACCCTGCACATCTCTCTCTACGAGGCCGAGTCTCTGGGTGACAGCGAGAAGGTCCTGGGGCGTTTGTTTCTTAGGCACCAGCTGCCCGTCGGCCACAAGGATGTAACCGGCCAAGAGGAGTAACTCCAAGCAGAGGAGATTAATCTTCATCCTGGAGTTAGTTACTCTGGAGTTTGTTACCCAACAACTGATCCTCTTTGAGTGTGCCTGGAACACAAACATCAAGAACATATTCAGGTCTGTTATCTAACCATGGGAATATTATTATTCTTTGAAAAAACAACATCAGAGTAGAGCAGGGATATTAAACTCCTGGGTTTATTATGTGACTTTGGCTCCCTCAGCTTTCATGTCTACATAAACTCACAAAAAACTGCCAATTGAAACCTCAGACACACCCTGCTGAAACATTTTAGTCATTTTAACTTAAGGGACCATACAAAAGTTATGAGGGGAAGAGAAAAGGGAAAAGATATTATAATTTTACGGGAGTATCTTATATTTTCATTATGTCAACCTTCCTTTGCAATTTCATAGTTACATAAATAGTACTATCAAAAAGACACTTGCACTTGTGACGTGTTTCATAAAGGATTCCATAAGCAAAGGATGGCAGCTGTCTCTGTATCATGGAGTTCTTCGTATGTGCATTGGGGATGCACATTAATGCAAATTTATTTATTATAAGCCCCTTGAGATCTCATTATTCGAGGGTTTCCAACACATAATATAAAGTAACAACATCAACATGGAAACAAACAAACAGATAGATAAACATGCAGACAAAAGAAAAACTGACTATACAAACATAGTGAATAAAAAAGTTGCCAAAGACATACATATGACCATTAATGTTTCTTAAAACATAGAGATCGGAGCATTCTTAAACATGCCAAATGATGTCACAGATAAAATGTTACATGTAAAATATTTCCATGAGGGAGAGGGAGTCTAACACATAAAAGCTTGTTTTCCAGTTGCTGTTGAAATACAGAAGTTATATAAAGGTTATACGGTTTAATAAGAGGTGCATGATAAAACTATCTGTAGCAATTTAAAACTTATTTTTAACATGCATAGAGGATTGTATTGCAGTCGAGAGGAGTTTAAAGTGAACAATAATTAGGAGAGCCTTGTTTGTTTTTAACAATATGAACCCTCCCTCACCACCCAAATAAATTTTATACAGTCCCTAAACTTGTCAATTAATGTTCCAAAGTCACTGCTTTTCAAACTCTTACTTACCAAACTCCAAACTGAGGCAGAAATCCTCCCAATATTTGTGCCTCTCAGATCAAACTTCCCCAGTAACTCTCAAGCTCTCAGGACAGAGAAAAGTTCCCAAATTGGAGGGATGCTGCTCCTGCAGTGACAGTCCAGGCATCTCCAACAGCAGCTGTCCTCTCTGTCACTGGTGTCAAAGTGAAAAAGCTCCAGCTCTGTGCTCCAGACGTTCCTGGCAGTAGTTCTCTCCTCTCCAGTACTGGCCGCTCAGTCTCAGTGTTCAGTCTGAAGAGTCTGCTGAGTTTGATCCCTGCCCTCCAACCCCTCCTCTTCTAATGTGGAGGAGGGGGTGGAGGAAGACAGGGGAAGTTTTTCAGTGTTCATCAAAGTGCCCTCAGTTAAATGGAGGAAACGGTGAAATCATAAATCAGTTCATAAGGAGTGTGTTGTTGGTACTCAGTGGTGACTTTATAGTGCTTGCTCTATTTTTGTATTTTATCCCCAAATGGCTTCATCCAATAATAATCCCACAAGCACTGATCATAGCTAAGTTACGATAAATCTAAAAAAGGCTCTTTATCCCTTTTAGATCACATCCTAGGTCACATTGTGCACCAATTTAACAATATGTGCCAAAAAAGCACAAAAAATCTAATCATATTTTCTTCCTGTAAAACAGAATATGATGTGTGCTTATGTCAGTTAGTACCAACCAATGTAAACCAATAATATCATGACATCCACCGTCAATCAATCTGTAACTTTTAGCCACAGACATAAGGTTAAGTTAGCTAGCTAGCAACAGCAAGCAACATCAGTGTGTCTTCATTTCCCCCCCAAAAACTGGTTACAAGTCCGTTGGCTGGAGGTAACTGACTTGGGGAAAGTGGTATTTGAGACAGCTCCAGATTATGAGCGAGGCGTTTTACAGTACCTCAGCAAGTAACGTTACATGGGGCATGAGATGCTTCGTCTTACTATCCAATCAGCCTTACACAGTCAGGGCCTCTCTGTTATGAAACGTCCACCCAAATCAAATTCCTCCAAACCACCTGCCTATCCTGTTTCAGATACTCTCAAAATGCCATTTCATCTGGATTTGAAATAAGAGTCTACACTAGCTGTGACATCAGCACAGCAGTGCTAAAGCTAAACGCTAACAGCATTTTAACATGGTCACGATGGGGATGCTAACATGCTGTTAATCAGGTTCAATGTTAACCATCTTCACCACCTTAGTTTAGTGTGTCAGCATGCTAACACATGCTGATTAAATACCCGCACTTCCCTGAAGTGCACTTGCCGAAAGTGCAGTTAGGGGCCTAAGTGTGCAAGGGACCGACGCTGTTTAAAAAGGAGAATTGGGACAGCTGTGTACACGTCACTTCCGTTTGGGTCCAGCTGGTCCATCTCCTAGGAGACGAAACATGGCGTTAGAGGAAATAACGTTGTTCACAGCACTGCTGCTGCAAATGATGAATAGATACAATCAGCGAATGATAAGGAGGATTAGGAGCCACAGGAGAAGGCGGCATCTACATCAGATCCAAGTATTGATGCTGATGCCCAGCCAACTGGTAAATTAAATTTTACTCTTGAATTTACCTGTTAATAATGTGTATATTAGCTGTCACGTCTTTTTTACTCTACCATTAACGTAGCCTAGATTACCGTTATTCCTATTAAAACGTTTTTTTGCTTGGATAAATTGTGGTAAATTGTGATATAAAATAAACTATAAAGACATACGGTAATAAAATAATAATAATTAAAGACATAATCAAAACTGTAAAGTGATGTGGACTGTCATAACTTGTATATTATTTCATTATTAACGCCCTGTCATGTATTTTTAAGTCCACACAGCGTGTTGTTTGACGTCCTCTAACTGCTGTCAGTTGGAGTTAACGGCTCACGGACACGTTTTAACGATGCTGCGCTTTAGCCAATCACAATGGAGGGGGCGTGGCTGTGACGTGCAGGTGTCTAACTGGAGTAGTTTCATGTCATATCCGACAACAGGAGGCTTTTAACAAATGACATCCTGATGTTAGCTTTGCTAACTGTCCCAGTCAGCTGCAGCCACTGATGCTTTCTAGACATCGTGATTTCCCACAACTGAATAAATACCACACATAGCAACACAAAACTGCTTTGCTAGCTCAATCATGTTGTAACTAAGATATCCGCTGGAAAAAATATTTTATTCACGGACCGTTTATTGAGTTATTACCTTATTTTTATACAGTCTGTGGTTATTACAGACACCACTAATGGCTAACGTTAACAGCTAATGGTTAGCCCAGCCAATCTACAATAACCATTACAAAATGTGCACACAGAAATAGTAACGTTTGTTCAATCATTGTGTTTATAGACTTAACAAACATCAGATTAGTCTACACGGTGATATAGTGACGTGAAAAATGTGACATATAGCTAAACTCTGCTGGTTTTCTATCCGAAGTATTTGTAAACAACACGGCAATTCCCTGGGGGCACCGCCGGAAGTGAAGGCCGTGAGCGATCGCAGAGGCCCCTGCACTTCCGTTAGTCGAAAAACTCCGGGCTGTGCCTCCAGAGGTAAAGGAAGGGAAAAAAATA